ACATAATTATTTATATTTATATTTATTATAAAATAGTTGGGTTGACCCATCTAACTATCAAACTGTTTAGACCAAACTTAGAACTTTATAGGCAGAAAAATACCTATTATTGCATGATCAAGAAAATTGTGAAAGTAATACAGATATATATTGACGTCTGTATTTTTAACTCTTTGTCTATTGTGATGACATCAGTGGTGGTGATTTTATGATATAAATTCTAGATTATAAGCATTTTTCTATTTAATATTTAATGTAAGGGATGAATAAGTAAAGTCTTTATATGAAAGACTTTTGGGAAGCTTTAGCTATGTTCTCATAATTACTCGTGGATCATATAATTGACTAATTAGCCCAATTATAAGTACAGTTACACTATTACAGTGACCTATCCTATATACAGACTACTTTGGTCATGTATTATTTAAGCTTAATTATAAAGATTTTCAGTATACCTCTTCTCTCTCTCCTTTTTTTTTAAAAAAAAAAAAAAAAAAAAAAAACTTTGTCAAATTAATAATTTGATATCTCATCACTAGAAGTTAATACATATACTCGGAAAAACTCTCTGCATTTATACATAAGAAACTAACACATAAGAAAAATTATACATTCTTTTCGGCTCACTGGGTTCACTACAAGAAAACACTTCAATTTCAACGAAAAATTCCAACGGCAAAAATTTCTATTGGAAATTCCAATGAATATTCCAACAAACTTAATTTTATGTTGGAATAAGTGTTGGATGGTTTAGGAATTCCAACGGATTTTTTCCGTTGGAATAGTTGTAGGAATTTATTTTCATAGGATTTTCCGTTGGATTTTAGCTATTCCAACGACCGTTTTTTCCACGGATTTTTATACGTAGGAATATTCGTTGGAATAGCTATTCCAACAGAAAATATAAAGAATTTCAACGTAAAATTTCCGTTGGAATGTAATAATTTTTTTTTGTAGTGGTTGATTCGAGTTTACTGGTTTTGAAACCCATGACTCAACGAATCGGGCCCTATAATCGATGGATTGACCATTTTCGGAGTTAAAATACAATTCTCTAAAACTTTAAGGGGTCAAAACGAAAAAGGCTGATACAACAATTTAAATCCACTTTTACAGTTTACAAGAAAAATTGAAGTTTACAAAAAAAAAGAAAAATTGAAGTTACATACAAGCAATATTGACTTGATTATCCAATTTCGAGTTCAATTTCAACATTTACTCCACTATAAATATGTGTCATTCGTCAAATAAATGAGAGTTAATGCAAGGTTCATGCTAGTTACTATGTACTTGGTGAGGTACGTAGTCATAACATTATTAAAGAGTAAAAATAATATTATTATTTTTTTATATTTTATAATTTAGACAAAAATTATTGAGTTTATGCTAAATTAATAAATTTGACAAGAAAAAGTCCAACATTTTGATAAAGGCAAAGCACACATTTAACTATGATGACCAATAAAACTACTAGTTTCACAAACGACTAACATTTTGACTACAAAGTACAAAACATATGTTCTTCCACTTTGACCATTGAATTGAAGAATACGTTTAAAAATATAAAACACATGTAGATATTTGAGTTATGGCACTAAATCGAAGAACTCTGGATGAGGCAATGAACATTCATCGGACGAATCTGCGGACAGAAATATTTAATGGAAGTACGCTTTATATTATTTTAACTAAGTTCCCTAGTATTAGTTATTTGAAATTAACTAATACTACTATTATTTGTGCAAGATTGATAGAATGCTTTCCAGATGCACTTACCTTGTGAAAATGATTCAGCCGCTTGGGTAAGACATTCCATAATTGAAGGCGTCATAATCAATCAAGAACTTTCCTTCTGGAACGTGACTTGGCAGCAAAATTACTTTTTACTTACCATATGTGAGCCGGTATATAAGCGTTGGGACGCGGATGAAGAAACCAGTTCGGACAATTATCTTTTGATTTTTTTAGAGTTGTTCTTGAGTTCAAATAAATTACTGTGAGTTTAGTTTTATTTTTATTGAGTGGTGAATCGAGAGAGTGCCCTCGATCACGTTGAGAGAGTATTTTGCTTTTTTATTAAACTGAGTGTTCGGGAGGATCATTTTGATTAGTTTGAGGGACTCAAACTAAAAAATCCATAAGGGATTTGTGGTCAGAAAATTAATAATGTAGATGATTATTTCAAAGGTAGTGGAGAGAGAGAGTCGACATTGTAAATCCTTTGAATAATGGTTGTATGGTGCAGTGGTTTCACTCTAAGTGAGCTCTACGTTAATGAAAGAGTTCCGAAGGAAGATCGCGATGCTCTCCTGAAAGTTCACGTTTTGTAGAACCTTTGCTTCCGCATTTGTGTGAATGTACATTCAACATTACTGTTTTTAATACTTAGCGCAATTCTGATTTATTAAGTATGTTCCCCCACAACTTCAATGCAAATACAATAATTTAGAAGTACATGTATCAAGTAATGTATAATTGTTTATACAATTATTATTATAGCAGGATACTTAAATCACCACTTGTGGTGAGCAATGAAGAGGTTCGGTGTAATATCATCTCAAATTGCAAAAAAATTGAAAGATTGAAGTCGTAAAAATGCAGTCGAATGGCACCGCAACAAAAAAAATTTAAAACAAAATCGTACCAAATATTTTCTACACCAAAAATAATTGAATCGAGTTGTGCTAGATAGCATAACTTGACTCGATATTCAGGGTTCTCTTAAAATTCTATAAATTTATATTAAGTCGGTTCGATTAAATGCAAAATCGCTCCAAATTGGGAAAAAAAAAGCCAAGAACCAAACCTTTTTAAAAAGATAATCGAACCTTACCGGCTCATTGAACCAAGATCCCCACATATATGAACTAGGTCCTTTCACACGTTTACTAAAATTATATTATTATTATTTATTTATATATTATTATTTATTTAAACTTTCGTAAAAAGTACGACATTCAACATAAAACCATACATAAATCATTTATAAATGAATCATAAATAAAAAGATATATACACACATACACACTCAATTTAGAAACCAATGACTAAAGTAAACCACAAATCAATCAAATATAAACAATAAAATATAGTACGTTTATAATTAAAAATAAAAAAATTTCATCATATATGTGCATATAAATAGGAATTTGTAGATAAATGGGTGTAGTTTTTGTCTATGAATTGAAGGATGGCTTGGCCTCTTGGGCTATCACCCTACAAAAGATAGCCCATCTCTACGAGTCTTGGCCTCTTGGGCTAACAATCCCACGAAAGTTGGCCCACTCCATAACTCATGTCTTCTCGGGCTATGATCCACAAGGCATTCATTATCTTATAGAAAACCAACTATAATGTTCCTCTACCCACATAGGACACATGTTAATATGTTCACCGCTTATGTGGCATGCACATATTGGTGATGTTAATATATTAAAAAAATAAGTTACCAATATGTACATGCCACATAAGCCGTGGACATTATTAACATGTGCCCACCGTGGGTAGGAGAACATTACTCGAATACCAATATTCAAAACAGCAACGACCAGTATTTGAATTTGAAATCCTTATAAGTGGGTCCCACAGAGAGGGTTTTTGGGAGGGAAAACCCAAGGGTTTTTTAACTTTTTTTCAACGTTAAATAAATGTGAGCACATCTCGAACTTTCACACTCTACTTCTTTCTCTTCCTAATATAATCGGCTGCTACAGTTCGTCTCATCATCCCCTCGTCGAATCGAATTCACGCCCAAAAATTCGATTAAGGAAATCCATTCGCCTTTCAGGAAAAAGAGAGCGGAAAAAAATGGTTGTCTCGAAAAAGTCGACGTACGAGGAGAGCCGACAGAAGAGGCTCGAAGAGAACAAGAAAAGAATGGAGGAATTGAACCTCAACAAACTCGCTCAAGCCCTGCATACTCCCAAGCCTTCGCCCGTAAGCCCATTTTTTTTTTTTTTT